TCGGGCCAGAAGCTGATTGTGCGAGTCATGGTGCACCCTTTCATTATCCCTGCGCCTGGCACTGCGCCAGTTCCTGGTTCGGGTTCGAGCTCAGACTCGTATTCGGGGTTGGGTCCTTCAAGTGCTCCCTGGTCTAGTTCTGCTGCTGCGTTGAATGTTATTGCTGGTTCTTATAGGGTTATGATTGGACTTGGGTTCGGTTTAGTTGTTTTGATGTTTGTTTGAAGAAGTTTAGTTGTGATTCGATATAGGTCGTAGCTAGGTTGTTTGTTTAATGCGTTATGAAATTTAATTTGGATTTTGGTATGTCTATGATTGGACAAGGTTTTCTATGTTTTGAGTATTTAAATCGTTGATTATTGTTTTATCTATATTATTTAATTTGTTGCACATTTTTGGGTTTTTGGACTTGATGTGGTCATATAATGATCGAGTCCTATGTATCCTCTGAGACAGGAAAATATAGACTTCATATTGCATTAAAATAAGTTAGTCTAATTCCCGAACCTGATTTATTTTGAATGAGAAGGAAAACAAATACGATTCACGTAAAATTATAGTTAATTACCATAGAAATGGATCATAATTATATGCAACATTATGAAAGCTGGTTGTTGAGAAAACGGTCTCAGGAGTTAGTGGAAAGAATCTACACTCAAACTTGTTGATATTGGCAATACCTTGAATTTGACTTGGGAACTAAAGTATGTGCAATTTGTGGTTGGTTCTTCATTATGTTTTTTTCATTTAGTTTTCAGCATTTGCTATTTGCATGTTGTGTCATTTACACTCCACTAGTATAATTTACAAGGGAACAAAATTATATTTAATTTTCTTGGAACAAGATTCTTTTGAATGCACGAACTAGTGTTCAAAGAAAGGAAAAGAAAATGGTGAGGGAATTAGATCACTTGGAAAATAAAGTTTTTCAAAAAAAAAAGGAAGACAATGTTGAAGAACTAAGATAAATTTGCATGAAATATATTCTCAAAAAGTAGCTTTTACTATTGTATTTAGGGGGTGTTTGTTTAGGTGTAAGTGAAAATTGTAAGTATGAAAGTCACTTATTTTTTAGATTTAACTTGTTTGTTTTATTGAAAGTGATTATGAAAGTGACATAAAAAAAGAATCCACGTAGGATTTTTTTGCAAGTTCAACTTCCCCTATAAAACCGCAGAAGTGAGCCGCAAGAGAAAAAAAAATGGATATGCTTCAAAATGATAAATAGAGATGGGAAACAATTTATATAAAAACATGATTTTTAATATATAATTAAATTAAATTAATGTTGCCACATCATCCTCACTTTTCTACTTTCAACAATAACTAGTTTTTGTAAACAAACAATGTATGTCAATTGTATGCTGACTTGGATGCGTTAACCCACTTACAAAAAAAAGTCACTTTCATCCTTTCAACTCACTTACAACTAAACAAACACCCCCTTAATCATTATGCAACTGGAAGCAGTAAGCACTCTTTGTTATATTCTATTTTCAACTAATTATGGAATTTAACTAGTTCATGAAAAAAATAAAAGCGTAGTGATTTCCTTGCTCCTTTTTTAATCTTCGTCACGTTCTTGATATGTTATAATGGGAGATTAAATAATAGGCCGATATAAGCCCATTTAAAACACCAAGCCCTATCCCATTCCACGATCTCCCTTGCTCTCTCTCGCGCGAAATTTCCCATTTTTCCTTAATTCGTTATATTCCACGGCCATGGCTTCAATTCTTCTAGCTTTCTCAAACCCTAACCCTAATGGTGAAAGGCTTTCGCCGACAGCAGTGAAGTGATACGAATTCCATGATTCTTGACCTCGGATCGAGCGTGGAATTAATAGGCTTGAGTATCTCGGTCCACGCCTTTGATTCACGTATTCGTAAGATCTTTCCTCCATTTTTTTTTTGGTAAAAATAAGAGTTCAATTTTGATGCTATTTGGTGAAAATTCCAAATGCATGTTAAAGTATTGAAAAGATACTTGGTTCGATTTTTTACTGAATTGCCTTTGGAGATATCGTTGTTGTGATGCAATCTTTGCGGTCCTGGTTAATTATTTGTACCGACATGAAAATTGACCCGATACAAGTAATTTCACGAGGTGAAGTACGAAGAGGGTCCAAGACTACTCTTGTTGAACTAGCGGTCAATGTCCATGGTAACTCTTGTTGCTTGATCGGGCATCTCCCTTAACAAAATTAAAGGTGGAATTTTCCCGAAAGGTCTGGACCAGACTGCTCCAATCTGGGTCTCGATCACACCCAGAAGGGTTGAACCTGTTGAAAAGTAAACTTGATTTTGGATCAAGTTTAATTATTGGATCAATGATCCAATTATCACTTGTTGGGCCAAAACCCAATACTTGATCCAAGTTCTAGAGTTTTCTTTAGAAATATCTAAACATCTCCACCTCCTTAAAATGTTCTAGAAAATTATAGAGAATAAATATCTAGATATTTCTCTAAATAATTGTAATATAAAATTCTAGATATTATGCTAGAACTCTCTAGATTTAGGATTAAAATATTCTAGATATTTTGTACTTTGGATGCTATAAATATCTCCCCTTCCCTCTCATTTGTAATCAAGAAGTTCCAAGTTGTTCTAAGGTGTTCAAAAGAAATAAAAATCTTCTTCTTCCTAAATTTTCTATTTTCTCCCGAATTCTTAAACACTTTCTCCATCACCTCCAAATATTTCTTCCGAACAAAGTGGTATCAGAGCTAGAAGATTCCCTTGAAGATGGCGAGTAACAGTGTTCCCTTTCAAATCCCGATGCTCACAAAGAGCAACTACGACAATTGGAGTCTAAGAATGACGGCTATCCTAAGAGCACATGACGTGTGGGAGATAGTCGAGAAAGGCTTCATTGAACCGGAGAATGATGGTAGTCTATCTCAAACTCAAAAGGATAGTTTGAGAGACTCAAGGAAGAGAGACAAGAAGGCTCTCTGTCTAATCTATCAAGGTCTAGATGAAGATACATTCGAGAAGGTCGCGGGAGCAAAGACGGCCAAAGAAGCATGGGAGAAGCTTCGAACTTCTTATAAGGGAGCAGATCAAGTCAAGAAGGTACGTCTTCAAACTCTAAGAAGAGAATTTGAAGCGTTGCAAATGAAGAAAGGTGAACTCGTCTCCGATTACTTCTCAAGAGTTTTAACGGTTACTAATAACCTAAAGAGAAATGGTGAGAAGTTAGATGAGGTGAGAATCATGGAGAAGGTTCTTAGATCGTTGGATCCAAAATTCAAGCATATTGTCACTGTCATTAAAGAAACAAAGGATTTGGAGGCTATGACGATGGAGCAACTTCTTGGGTCGTTACAAGCTTATGAAGAAAAGAAGAAGAAGAAGGAAGATATTGCAGAACAAGTACTCAAGATGCAGATTGATCAAACTAAAGAAGAAAGCGGACGAAGTTATCAAAGACGAGGTAGCGGTCAAGTCCGATAACGAGGTCGTGGATATGGAAATAGACGAGGTTGGAGGCCTCATGATGACAACACCAACCAAAGAGGAGAAAGCTCATCAAGAGGTCGTGGGAGAGGAAATCAAAAACCAAGGTACGATAAGTCAAGCGTTAAATGCTATAATTGTGGAAAGTTTGGACACTATGCTTCTGAATGTAAAGCTCCGAACAATAATAGAGTTGAAGAGAAGTCCAATTATGTTGAAGAAAGAAGCCAAGAAGATGATATGCTATTGATGGCTTACAAGAAAGATGAACAAGATGAGGTTCACAAGTGGTACCTCGATAGCGGTGCAAGCAATCACATGTGCGGGAAAAGAAGCATGTTCGTGGAGCTTGATGAATCGGTGAAAGGAAATGTGGCTTTGGGAGATGAATCGAAGATGGAGGTGAAAGGTAAAGGAAATATTCTCATCCGATTGAAGAATGGAGATCATCAATTTATTTCCAACGTTTACTATATCCCAAGCATGAAGACCAATATATTGAGCCTTGGACAACTCTTAGAGAAAGGTTATGATATTCGATTAAAGGATAATAACCTTTCTATAAGAGACCAAGAAAACAATCTCATTACCAAGGTACCGATGTCAAAGAATAGAATATTTGTTCTTAACATTCAAAATGACATCGCACAATGTCTCAAGATGTGCTACAAGGAGGAGTCCTGGCTTTGACATCTTCGATTCAGGCATCTCAACTTTGGAGGATTACAGCTACTTTCTAAAAAGGATATGGTGAGAGGATTGCCTTACATCAATCATCCAAATCAAGTGTGTGAAGGGTGTCTACTTGGAAAGCAATTCAAAATGAGCTTTCCAAAGGAGTCAGACACAAGAGCGCGGAAGCCATTGGAACTCATACATACAGATGTATGTGGCCCGATCAAACCAAGATCACTCGGTAAAAGTAACTACTTTCTTCTCTTTATTGATGATTTTTCAAGAAAAACATGGGTTTATTTTTTGAAGGAAAAGTCAGAAGTGTTTGAAAACTTCAAAAAGTTCAAAGCCATGTCGAGAAGGAAAGTGGCCTTGTGATCAAAGCCATGAGATCCGACCGTGGAGGAGAATTCACATCCAAGGAATTTAAGAAGTATTGTGAAGATAACGGTATTCGAAGAAAATTGACGGTGCCGAGGTCCCCTCAACAAAATGGAGTTGCGGAAAGGAAGAACCGGACAATCCTTGAAATGGCGAGGAGCGTGCTCAAAAGTAAGAAACTACCAAAAGAGTTGTGGGCAGAAGCAGTTGCATGCGCGGTTTATCTATCAAAAAGTAAGAAACTACCAAAAGAGTTGTGGGCAGAAGCAGTTGCATGCGCGGTTTATCTATCAAATCGATTTCCAACAAGAAGTGTTTCGGGAAAAACACCACAAGAAGCTTGGAGCGGAAGGAAGCCCGGTGTTTCTCATCTAAGAGTCTTTGGAAGCCTTGCTCACGCTCATGTACCGGACGAGAAGCGAAGCAAACTAGATGACAAAAGTGAGAAGTACATCATCATTGGTTACGATGCCAACTCCAAAGGCTACAAGCTCTACAATCCTGATACAAAGAAGACAATCATCAGTCGAAATGTCATCTTTGATGAAGAAGGAGAATGGGATTGGAGATCAAATGATAAAGACTACAACTTCTTTCCACATGTTGAAGAAGATGAATTGGAGCAACCAAGAGAGGAGCCTGTTACCCCCACCAACTTCACCAAGCCTCTCAAGCGCGAAGATTTTATCAAGATGAGGAGTTTGCTTGGAGTAGCAAAATCAAGTTTAAGAGGGGGTGTTGAAAAGTAAACTTGATTTTGGATCAAGTTTAATTATTGGATCAATGATCCAATTATCACTTATTGGGCCAAAACCCAATACTTGATCCAAGTTCTAGAGTTTTCTCTAGAAATATCTAAACATCTCCACCTCCTTAAAATGTTCTAGAAAATTATAGAGAATAAATATCTAGATATTTCTCTAAATAATTGTAATATAAAATTCTAGATATTATGCTAGAACTCTCTAGATTTAGGATTAAAATATTCTAGATATTTTGTACTTTGGAGGCTATAAATACCTCCCCTCCCTCTCATTTGTAATCAAGAAGTTCCAAGTTGTTCTAAGGTGTTCAAAAGAAATAAAAATATTCTTCTTCCTAAATTTTCTATGATCTCCCGAATTCTTAAACACTTTCTCCATCACCTCCAAATATTTCTTCCCAACAGAACCGATCCTGATAATTTATGGGTTGGTCATGGAATGAAATTCCAGGCCAAAAGTGGATCTCATAACCCGACGCTGATCCAATTGAACATAAACCCAAACTTATATGAATAGGTTACATGCATGAAGCTGAAGACATACTCAACCCGGCCCATCCTCTATCCAAATCTGAGCTTAAACCTAACGGGAAATAATAAATGTAGATAATGATTAATGGCATTCTTAATATATTAGTATATATAAATTAATGATATACCTTAGAGTATTGTCTTATACTTGAGAATTTGTAGTACGGTGTACTCTCTATTCTCCAACTTCTCATCTTAATAGAACTTTTTGAAGGGTTGAACATTGACAGATTCTGCTTCAAGCTCAATGGTGTCCATTTTCATGCATGAACGGTCTTTCATCTCCTATTTTCTAAAACTCAGTCCAATGTTATTGCTAAATAAGATATGTTTGAATTAAAAATGTTTACTATTGTCACTGTAAAGATTTTAATTTTTTGATCTTATACCTTGGTTTGGCTGACTAAGGAACTGCAAACTCTACATACTAATGTTATACAATTTGATGTGATACAGTTTATCTTATTTTAAGTGTAATATTTGCAACATTAAACTTTGAAGATGCTGCAATACCGGGCTTTAATATATTATGTTGTTCTAAGAAATGGTTATGTTACATATGAGATACCCAGCTGTAACCTAACAGATTAGCCTATTGATAATGAGCATCGGTAGGTGATTTGCTACTTTATGTACCTGCGCCGGAATCCGACAGGTATTAAGAATCCAAAACCAAGAAGAAAACTCGGAACATCACCTGATGCTTTATTGGTGGATGTAGACCGAGACTTTGGACTCAATGTCATTTCGGTTTGTGCAAGATCTGAGTCTAATACCATCGGACACTAGCCTAAATAATGTAAACTTTAATAAAAACATATAAGCATAAGAAGTGCTATATTATTTGTTAGTGGGAGCAGTTTCATAATCATCCTTATCTCAATAGCAATGCTCAAATATTGTTATAAACACACAAACACCTACATATAATGTGCCTGCAATTGCAAATGCAAGTCTGATTGGGCTGATTTTGGACCCTGCATCCTCCCCATTTAACTTAAGCTGCTTCGCCAACTGATGCTTGTTTCAGAGTCATGAAACCAAAACCTAGAACAATTGCACATCCTGGAAAAACATATGCTTCTTCTCTTACTATGATAACAGAGATTAGAAACCATTATATAGTTGATCATGAATTAGAACATAATGATAAAATCTTACATTATTTTTTTTTTGTGATCTAATAATCAATTTCATGACGTTAGGATCTCTACGTAGTTATATGTATCGTCCAATTTAAACAAGATACTACAATCGTTCAATCAAAGTGATTACGCAAATGTTTGATAGAGTAACAAACGACTACCTCATGCATTTAGATTCATGTATACAAAGTTTTCTAGGTGTGTATTAATGTGTTATATGGGCTCAGAGTTTCATTCTTCTTCGTGTTTTAGCATGTTGCAAATTGACGTACAGCACATAGACAGTCATTTCGAAAAATTAATGCCAAGAGATTGAAATGAGATTAAGATGCTTGCTTGCCTTGTACTTTCTTAAACAGGCCTTGCTTTATTCTAGTAAAGTTCCTGATGGGGAGCGGAGAGAGGGCTTCAATCTAAACATGACTACGGATTGACCAAAACATCCGTTGTAAACTTGATCGGCGACGGTGGACAAGTAGTAAATCTGGATGGTGAGGAGGAGGCGACAAACATCGAATGAGCCACTGTCAAGCCCATGAACAGTAACAAAATTACTCTTCACTGGCCAAACAGTATGGTTACTGTTTGCGATATGAAGAGGCCCAAAACAGTGACTGTGGCTGTTTTTTGTGATTTGGAGCTGATTTGTGGTAGGCTTTGTAGGGCTTTTGGATGGGTGGTTAAGATTGGAAAGGGATAAGATTTTTAAAGAGGAGAGATTTGATAACTAGCTAGGCATTACACCTAGAGGCCTCACACTCAAGGGCTTCACAAACCAAAAAAAAAGGGCAAACCACATGTCAAGAAACATCTCACATTCTCAATAAAGAATTCTCAAACTCAAATTTTTATTTAGTTATGTTCATTCCTCATGGAGGATTGCATCTCTTATTTATAAAAAAATGCATCTAAAGAAAATTAAAATTCTAATCAAATCAGAATATAACCACACTAGAAGTTGGAATCAACTAAAATCCTAACTAAAGTAGAAAGAGATCTCAAAATCAAAATCCTAAGGATATTCTTACTAAAAAGAATATTACATAGAATAAAATAAAATCATACCAGAAAAGGATAGATTCTAATAAATCGTAAGTGCATCATATGGAGGGTCCGTCCTGCATCAGTTCCCTAGCACAATTTGGACTATTTCCAACCTTTAGGTTTGCTGCTCCTTCCATGCTATCCACTTTCCTCTTTACCTTTTTTTTTGCCCCCCTTTTTTTGGTTTCTATTGTTTTTCTTTTCTTGCTATCTTTTCTCATAGCTTGTATCCTTGTCTTTTCTTTCTTTTCTCCTTTATTTATTCTCTGTTTTCTGCCTTTCTTCTTTTTCACTCACTAAATGAAATAGCTACGGGATGAAGATCATCTACCTTCAAGTTTTAGTATTATGAGGAAAACTGGATTCAAGTTCATGCATAAAACTTCTAGACAACTTTATCCAACTGTCGCATTACTTGTAGAAGAGAGAATTAGTTGATTCGTCATTACATTTCCTTCTATCAAGAGAGCACCAGGGCTAGGTCGCTGGCCCCGAGTGGGGTTCTTATCCTTTACTGTTTTATTCAAGTACAACAGATAGTATCATTGGGAATAAAGACATCAACCATTGTTAGAGCTACAATAGTTGGAGCATGTTGTTACCATTCTCTGTTACTGTATTTTTATCCCCTTCGAAGAAGCATGCTAAATGCTTTAATAATGCTTGCTTGAGATGGGAAGTATTTGCATTCAAAACTGTAAAATAGTTGTTGAGTTTCACTACGACGTTTTATCCTAGCTGCTTTTCAGTACTTTAGACATGTAATTCCATCCACAGAGATAGATCATTATTCATTGGATTGTAGGGTATCCCTTGTAAAAATGCAAACTAAATGCTTAACACTGCTTATTTTAGCAAATTAATGTGAGCAATATGGAAAGATATGCCTGCCAGTAAACGGTAAGAAAATGGCTCAGATATTTATAGAAAGATGTTTTGTCTTGTGAGACCTGCCTTCTATTGTAAGAATTAATTTGTTTTCTTATATATGGCCTTGAGATTCTATAAATTAGATTCCTTAAAGCAAACCCCTTGTGGATGGAATGGGACATGTTGATCTTATTTATCTACCATGTTCTTTTTTATTTTCAGGATATCATCCCATGCTTATTCTCTGGAAAAAAAACTTGATCGTGAAAAGAAGCCTATCTGGTAATTCTATTAATGAAAACTTGATCATGGTAGCTTATTTGTTAATTCTATTGATGAAATGGCATTCCTTTACAATACATCATTTATTACCATTTCTTTGAATAAACATGTTTCATATTTTCCTTGCTGTTAGGTTCGTGCAATATCAGTAAGTGAATCTAATAGCTTTGCTTTTGAATTGGTACAAAGTGTGGTTATTATGTTTAATGGCATTCTGATGATGAGAAATTTATATTGACCCACTCCAGAATTTGCATCGTTCTCTTTTGGGTATTTGCAAGAATTTCAGCTTATGAAGAAACATCCTAAAACGCCATGGTACGTGATGAAATAAAGTATGTTGAACAATAAAGCTAACACCAAAAAGGTACTGATATCTTTCTGCATTTTGAAATAAGGTTTCTCTCAGAACCTAAAGCAATGTGTTTAGCTTCTGTTGTGATTACCGGTACAAAGTACAAACATGCAGATTAAAATGACCTGCATTGAAGCGACAAAAGAGCAGTCACCCATATCAGCATTCGCTCACTCTAACACGCGGCGTTTCCTATTGATTAAAGGCTGCATCCAGCGAAATGGGATTCATATGGTACCTGCTTAAGTGAGCAAAAAAGCAAGGTCTGTTTGGTGCTCTCTCTCTCTTTTAAGGCATGTAATGACATAGAAATCCCAAAAAGCAAACAAGGTATTTATCTTTTTATACAGTTCTTTTACAAAATAATTTCTGAGTTACATGTAATTGAGCTGGAATCCCTGGTATTAAGGATTTTACATAGAAGAGTCCATGTCTGTGGATTCCTCTTTATCCCCACCGCCCTTGGCCTCCTTGAGTAATAGTCCTAATAGCTTTTCGTAAGTTTCAATAGCGACCTCAAGCATGTCAATGGCCCTCCTCCTGTCTTTTACCGCGACACCCAACCACTCTTCCATTTCTTCCACATTTATAACCTTCCTGCTAATCTCCTTCTCACTGAACCCCTGACTGCTTATTCCATTGCGTATAACTCCTTCGTCTTTGGTTCGGCCATTGCCAAACCCATTAGTCACCAAGAGATGACTAATTGTGCCGCCCCTCTCATGCCCAAAAACCTGAACAATGGATCTGCTCTCCAAATCCCGTATCCTTATAATCCCCTCTTCAGAAGCCGAGACCAAATTCTTGTTCCCATTCACCATTGCTAATGCCACGACTGCTATGTTCGATTCTGCTTCCCACGACTCCACTTGAATCCCTTGCCTTCTCCTTCTATTCTTTATCGAGATAGCATGCACTTGGCCATCGGATCCACCAACATAAGCTAAATTATAAGGATCCACTGCAACGCACCAAAGTGGGCATTGGAATTGGATGGTTTGAAGCTGAGCACCATCTGCAATGCTCCAAAACTTACATGTGCCGTCAAGCGAGGTTGAAACCATAGAGGCATTGCAACCACCTAATCCCAAAGAAATACCTGTGACTGCTGAACTGTGTGCAGAAAACCGATAAAGAGCAATCTGAGATGTGCCATGTTCATCTGAGGAAACATCCAGTAAATTAAGAATTGAGAATGCAGCTATCACGCCATCATCACCTCCAGATATCAACAAACTACTATCCTCATTGATCACTAAGCAGGAGATTGGTCGAGTATGAGCCTGAGATGAGCGATAAAGCTCACCAGAAGGCAGCGAAAAGGTGTAAATGAAGCCTGAAAGGCTACCTGAGAAAAGATAGGATCCATCAGGGATCGCTACAATAGGGGCAACGGGTTCAGGGGCATGGATGCATTGAAAGGAAGCGGAGGACCACCAGTTGTAGAGGTTGATGAAGCCAGTGGATGCAGTATTTGGGCAAATGTGGGATGCAGCAATGAGGTTTTTTCCAGCGAGGGCGAGGCCTTGTCGAGGTGATCGGCTGCCGGAAAAACGAGCCAAAGTGTTGGCGGTTAGAGGATCATAGGCTGTGACTGGGGAGTCGGAGGAGCTTGTGAGGATAATCTCTCTTGAAGAGCAAGTCATATTTCCCTCTTTAGGAGGAGTTCAGAGGGTAAATATATATATATAGAGAGAGAGAGGTGTTGGGTTGAGAGCAAGTATAATTTATAACTAACGGAATGATTAGGGAGCATATAGAACAAAAACTGTTAATTGAAAGAGCATATGAAAAGGGTGATTTCTTATGTTGGTCTCCAATTCCATTGAGAAGGTTTGAAGAATGTGAATGCTTTTCTCTTACTTTTTGTTTAACTGTAATGAAGCTTGTAGCTTTGGCCTTATCCTAACATAGTTATACACGAGGCACGCGTTGAGGCTCAAATTCTGCAAGACTCCATTTGAAGTAGTTCGTCTCTTTCTGGTTTGGTTTCTTCTCTTGGGCGGTGCGAAAATACTTGTTTTACCCTTTGAATCTCACCCTATATTGTAGTGCTAGTGGTCGACGGTGCAAACTTGGTAAATTCTCATAAGAGTGGTTTAAATATTTAGCCTTGGGAATGTATCACGTTATTTGGTTAGGGCCGTTGTCAAGACTTAACACTACTTCCGTAGTATTTGCAATATTGTTTACTTGGGTCGTCTTTGATGCAAAGTATATTTGCTGAAAAGGTGGGATTATTATTATTATTATTATTATTATTATTACTACTGCTGCTACTACTACTACCAGTAGCATGACATGTAGCTTCTGTATCCACTATCCACTCGGAATTCTAATTTGTAACATGGATACAGTCTTCTTCCCTGCAAATGAGAATAACATCGGTATCGGACAAAGTAGTAGTGTCATTGTCAGCTTTCTTCTTCTCATCTTTTTTTCATCTTTGTTCACAGCTTTCTCTTTCTTCAATGCCCAACAATTCTTCTTGATATGATTTGGCTTCCCACAATAAAAACAACCTCTCCCTTTAGACTTTGATTTGCCCTTGGATGTGCCACGACCTCTGGATTGATCCATGTACTTGCTCCTGCCCATGTTCTCCGTGACAAGTGCATGTGAGTTATCTGTGTTGGTAGACTTCCTCCGAGTCTCCTCATTGAATAAACCACTAGTAATCATACTCATCGATAACATATCATCTAGACCTGCGTTGTTGACTGTCACAACCAGTGTCTCCCAACTATCTGGCAAAAAACCTAATAGCAATAAAGTCTGTAGCTCATCATTGATAGTCATCTTCATGGTAGCTAACTGATTAATCAAATTCTTGAACTCATTCAAGTGTCCTGCTATGTTGCTTCCTTCTGTGAATTTCAAGTTCACCAACCGCCTCATAATAAACGCTTTGTTTCCCGCGGTCTTCTGCTCGTATAGATCCACAAGCTTTTTCCAAAGAGACTTCGTATTAGTCTCACCCAATACATGATGAAACACACTAATGTCGATCCACATCCGAATATAACCGATCGCCTTTTTATGTTGTTTCTCCCATTCTTTATCAGTCATCTTTTTTGGCTTGACTTCATATCTCTCAATAGGGTCATGTAAATCTTTACAATACAGAATATCTTTCATCTTTGACTTCCATACTTGCCAATTGGAACCATCTAATTTTATCATTGTGTCAAAAAAAAACTCTCCATCTTTTCCATCCCAAAGCACACCTCGAACGAGGACTCTAATATCACTTGTTAGGGATTTTATGGAGATTAATATGCGGAATTAAACACTAAACGAATAACGACACCAATGAAAATACCACAAGCAAGAAAACACTAAGATTTAACGTTGTTCGGTAAATCGTGCCTACGTCCACAGTACAATCCAAAGAGAAATATTTCACTATGAATCAAGAGTACAATCCCTCCAAGTTCCACCTGAACTTGAGAATTAAATCACAAGAGAAAGATACAGTATTACCTCTAGGGCACCAAAACCCTGAAATCCGTCTCACCAAAAAATATACAATACCCGCGGAGAAACCAACATCGTACTCTTGACGACAGCGTCGTTTTGAAGACAACGGCTTTTGAATCACTACAATTAGACAACCGAGCTATCCGGAATCTAACTTTTTCTCTTTTTTTCTCTCTCTTGGGGTTACTGTTCACGGTTTACTGTAGCACCAAAAAAATTACGTGGCTCTCATAAATAGAATTATCCAAACATATTCCTATTATAAATAGAACATCCAAATTCTCTTCTTGATAGAATTTTAATTCATGTGAAGCTCATGTGGGCCTTATCTTGGACTGAGTCCACAACAACTTATTCCCTCGAGCCATTATTTATTATTATTTAGTAATAATTATTCAAAAGTGAATGTTTTTTACGGTTTTTCATTTATTCTTTTCCACCCGTGAAGTCTGTTGAGTAGCTTGAGGAATGCCCTCACAGATTTTCTGTAGGGGTCATTTCAACCCCCCCCCCTTTCCCCTACACCCTCGTGTTTCAACAAACCCTAAACTTGAGCTTATCTTACCTAACTCTCCTGACTATAATTTGCAAATAACTAAAATATTTTTGAGTGAAAAATTCTCAAAATTTATCATTTGTCATTTATAGGCAATATACTCCTCCTAAAGTTTGAGTTATTTTCTCTCAAGAAAATTTTAGTTATTTACAAATTATAAAAAGGGAGGTTAGGTGAGATAAGCTAAACCTTAAAAGGGTTTTGTGAGACACCCCATAGTTCAGAGGGTTATTTGAGATAAACAAAGTTCAGAGAGGTTATGTGCAACACCACCCCCCCCCCCCCCCCCCCCCCC